AGATTATGTTAATATTATGTTTGTGTTATGTTAATATAATGTTACATATTTACCCTAAAAAACAAACCAAAACTCTACTTAATGTCCACATTAAATAACCTGTAATATAAACTGATCGTTCTACAACTAGTGACCAATAACACTGAACAGAGGGAAATGAGCAGGTGGGATTTAGAGAAATGTAGTTTTCTTCTTGCTAATGTGTGTTTTCTGTCAGAGCTTCAGCTTTCTTTAACAGAATATTAGTTTAATTTATCTCAAACTACATATATATAAAATACAGAATCAGCACTGCTTCTATAACACATGAGCAGTATATCTTGTTTTCACCACGGTGATCAGATATAATCTATAATCAGCACCTCTGATGAGGGTCAGCACTGTTCCTTTGTACACGCTGCGGATTCCTTGTTCTTTATACAGTCGGACCGCACAGTCCACAGGACCAGAATACCTGGAGCCTCCGCCGCTGGACTGGACCTGAAACACAACACACACTTTATCTACACACACTGATAGAGGAAACACACAACACTTCATCTATATGTAGAGACAGATAACTGGAGTGTGAACAGACTGAAGGACAACCTGAACCTCTGACCTCCACCGTGTTCTGTTGGTTCTGTTGGAGACCGTACAAACCTCTGGATAACTGAGGGCTGAACTACGAAGCCAACTCAACTTTCTTTGTGTGAGCCGGCTCGACAAAAACTAATAATCATAATAAAAATAATACATTTTATTTAAAAAGCACTTTTCATTTTAAAGAAATCTCAAAGTGAGAAACCAGTACACACACTTAAAAAACAATTTTAATAAAGGAGTTCTTAAACTAAGCTAAACTAAAGCTCCAGCAGAGGACACAGGTGTCATGAAGGAGGTTCAGCTTTCTTCATCAGTCAGACTTCCTGCTTCAGACTCTGCTCACATTAAAGGAGGCGTTTAAATCGTCCCGTGACTCTTCTTCTGCATGAAATAAAACAATCATGTTCCTCCTGCTTCAGTCAGCACCTTGTTTCAATGGAGAACAATGAGGAATACAAAAAGCGCCGCGACTGTAAACGGTGAAGACAGGAATGCTGGTAGAAAACTGCTCAACAAGTGCATACATAATATTTAGTGATGCAGCCGCTGGTTTCCAGCTGACAGCTGCACGTTAAAGTTAATGAAATGAAAAATACTTTATTCATCCCAGAAGGGAAATTCAATCCAAGCTTCATTAAGCTTAATATATTATATATATATATCGTTAAGCTTCATATATTAAAACTCGATCTGGTGCTGAAGCTCATTCAGGTCTGACTCTGTCCCAGAATGCAGGAAATCACTTTAATAACGAACAAATCAAAGTGAAATTAATGTCACTGATTGAATGTTCTCTGTAATAAATACCAGCAGAATGATCCATGTTCTGATCGGTTCTATCAGCTGCAGCAGCAGCAGAGGAAACGGACCTGACAGCAGATCAGAAAATCAATCACAAGTCTGGTTCCCATGGCAACGTGATGCATACAGTGTGTGATGCTGTAACTACACGGCTTCACTCAGTGATATTAGTAACACACAGCTCAGCATGTTAGCAGATTAAACCTCAGCCGAGAATCTGGATCGCTCATAAATAACAGTCAGGAAAGCATCTGGTTAAAGGGAGACGCTCTGTCAGCAGATTTACATCTGAAACCCTGAATATAACCTGCTCCTGACCAGGTTAGCTCCACAGCATCGGTTACCATGGAGACCTAGCTCCACAATATCAGTTACCATGGAGATCTGGCTCCACAATATCAGTTACCATGGAGACCTAGCTCCACAGGATCAGTTACCATGGAGACCTAGCTCCACAGCATCAGTTACCATGGAGACCTAGCTCCACAATATCAGTTACCATGGAGACCTAGCTCCACAATATCAGTTACCATGGAGACCTGGC